CCTGGAGCCTGCTTTGGATTCTGTGTCTCCCCTTCTCTCTGCCCCTCCCACGCTCATGCTCTGCATGTTTCTCAATAATAAATAAACATTAAAAAACAATCAGTGTGTGTGGGAGGGTCTTAGAATGCTCAGGAAAGGCTTTTCCAAAATGATCTTAAGTTAAGCCTGTCATATGAAGACTCCGGTACAGGCATGCCAGAGAAGCAAATGCAAAGGCCCTGAAAGCAGAAAGAGAGACCAGACTAAAGCCAGGGCAACCCACTTAACACCGACCACACGGTGCATAACACTGACCACAGGGCAGAGAGTAGTAGACAAGTTGGATAAATAGAGATAGACCCTATATAGACTTTGGACCTTGGTAGGCATTTCAGTTATCATCTGATCTGTAAGAGATCTGGAACATTGAAAGTGAGCCATTGGGATGCCTAGGTGGCTCAGTTGGCTGGGTGTCTGACTCTTGATTTTGGCTCAGGTCATGAACCCAGAGTCATGGGATCAAGCCCCACACTGGGCTCTGCACTGAGTGTGGAGCCTGCTTGGGATTCTCTCTTTCTCTCAAAATACATAAATAAACAATAAAAAAAAAAAAAAAAAAAAAAAAAAAAGGTAAGACATTGAAGGGCTTTAAGCAGTGGAATAGGATCCAGTCTGTGATTTTGAACAGCTCTAGGAAGGAAACAGATCAAGATATAACAATGTTTGTCTCTGGGTGCTAAGATTATAAGCAACTTTTTTATGCTTTTCTGTATTTTCCAAAATTTTTCTGATGAACATGTATTACTTTTACAGTTTGTTTTTGTTTTGAGTAGGTTCCACTCCCAACATGGGGCTTGAACTCACAACTCTGAGATCAGGAGTCACATGCTGTACCAACAAAGCCAGCCAGAATGCCAGTTTAAAAAATTTAGTCAAAAAAGAGGCTGCCTGGGTGGCTCAGTTGGTGAAGCAACTGACTCTTGATTTTGGCCCAGGTCACATTTCGTGGGCTCAAGCCCCCCATCAGGCTCTGTACTGATAGTCAAAAAGGAAAAAAAAAAAGCAGCTAACTGGAAATGGTACAATGGAAGACAGCATGATTGGTAGTAAGGAGTCAAGATCACTCTGAGTCTCAAGGATGGATGATAGTGGCCTGAAATGGTTTGGCTGCCTCGGGAATGGAGAAAGGGGTGAACTTGACCAATGTTTCATGGATAAAATTTTCTGGTGACCAACAGGCCATGAGAGGTAAATGGGAGGGAAGTCTAGGATGACTGTTGACTTCATCTTAGGTGTCTGAGTAGGTTGCGACTCTGCTCAACTCTAGGGGATATAGGAAGAGCACAGACATGGTAGGGAATAGGAGTGGCTCACAGCATTAAAAACCAAACAATAAGATTAATCAGGTTATATAGCTGAGGAAGAGAAGTGAGAATTCTTCCAAGAAGCTTGACTCTGAAGAGAAAGAAACAGGGCAGTACTGGAGGGAGTAGAGTGTTAGAGTGGGTTTTTTTAATTTTATTAATATTTGAGAGAGAAAGGGACAAAGTATGAGTGGGGGAAGGGGCAGAGAGAGAGAGAGAGAGAGAGAGACAGAATCCTCAGCAGGCTCCAGGCTCTGAACTGTCAACACAGAGCCCGATGTGGGGCTCAAACTCACAAACTGTAAGATCATGACCTGAGCCAAAGTTGGACGTTTAACCAACTGAGCCACCCAGGCACCCCTAGGGTTGGAGTGTTCTTGGACAAGAGAAATGAACCAGTGAGGCTGAGCAGTTGGAAGTACAGATGTTGAGGGGGAGGCTAAGGGAGCATGATCCACGATGAGATGAAGTGGGATCCTAAGCAGAAGTGGGGATGAACCAAAAGAGGGACATCTCTGTTCTTCTGGGACGGTGGCAAGGATGTGAGGCAGCAGGATACATATGTACAGATTCCCTTGGAGGCTCATAGTGGGAGGGGAAACTCTCGCTTTTTGAACTTTACTTCCTGTGATTAGAAGGTGAGGTTATCTGTTGGGGATGTGGATGCGTAAGTAGTTGAAGCCAAGTGAAATTTTCTAGCAATCTGAAAATAGAGGGTGCCGATCAAAGACACAAACCGCTGAACAATACTGAGTCCCAACTGCAATTGGACCCACTAGATTCTGTAACAGCTCTCCCCTCCACCCAATCTGTACATTTCCATCATTTTGTGATCTGCTGTGATCTGCACTCCAAGCAGAAATAGAGTCACGCAACGGATTCAGGGCTGGGAGTTTGCAGAGCTGGTGCAGCTTGAAAATGAGGGGGTCTAAAGAGTCAAAGGTTATGAGCGAGAATAGCGAGTGGACCATGGCGGCACCCACTGGGTCAGGAAGAGAATGGGGTTAAAAGGAAAACAAAAGGCCAAGTGGAAAGTTCAAGGTAGTGGGGTCCTAAGTAAGTCAAAGAATACATTTAGTGCTAGATTAAGAAAACTAGACAAATAGGAAGTCGTAACAGGAAGTTGTGTAACCAAGTTCCAGGTATGGTCATGAGGGGAGTGGGTGGCTGAAGTATAGGTGCACATGGTTAGATTGGAAAAAAACCAAGGCATCACAAGGCCAGAGCACTACTTAAATGTTGGCATCATTATCATTTCTCATTTGAACAATGAGGGGGTTGTAAGAGTCTCTAAAGGCAGAGATTCTTTTTTCTTTTTCTAATGTTTATTTTTGAGAGATCACACACAAGTAGGTAAGGGGCAGAGAGAGGGGGGACAAAGGATCCTAAGCAGGTTCCACGCTGACAGTGACCTGGATGTGGGGCCCGAACTCACCAGCAGCGAGATCATGATCTGAGCCGAAGCTGGATGCTCAACCCACTGAGTCACCTAGGTGCTGCTAAAAGCAGGGATTCTTAAACGTTTTGGTCTAACAACCCCTTTACACACTTAAACCCAAATTTTAACAAATTTTTTGTAAGCTTTTTTTTAATGTTTGTTTATTTTTGAGTGTGAGCGGAGGAGGGGCAGAGAATCCCAAGCAGGCTCCACAATGTCAGTGCAGCGCCCCACTTGGGGCTCAAACTCATCAACCGTAAGATCATAACCCGGGCTGAAGTCAGAGGTTTAACCGACTAAGCCACCCAGGTACCCCAGCAACAAATATTTTTAAGAAAAATAACAATTTTCCAAAAGAAAAACATTTGGAGGTGTGACAATGTTTTACAGCTTTGCAAATAACTTTAACATTTGGCTTAATTGAAGACAGCTGGATTCCCTCATCTGCCTCTACATTCAAACTATTGAGATGGGCTGTTCGAAGTATGTAAGAAAATCCAAGTAGTGTCACTGCCCCCTGAGAAAGATCTTGAGGACACTGGACTACACCTTCAGAAGTTACTTTAATAAGCATTCTTCCCGTTTTAAATCATTCACTCATTCATTCATTCACTCACTCATTCAACACTACTGGATCCCGGAGATAGAAATGAATCATGTGATTGCCTACCCTGGAGTTTAGCTGAGATGAAAACTAATTAAAAATTACAGCACAGGGGCGCCTGGGTGGCTCAGTCAGTTGAGCATCCGACTCTTGATTTCATCTCAGGTCATGATCCCAGGGTCATGGGATTGAGCCCTACATCAGGCTCCACATGGAACCCACTGAAGATTCTCTCTCTAAAATAAAAAAAAAGTAAAATAAAATAAAAATTACAGCACAGCATTAATGAGAACAGAGGAAGGCGCTAGTATGCCTAATAGAGGCAAGGAAGGCTTAACAGAGTACAGGGAATTTGAATTTGGGCCTCAATTTCCTGTGTTCTCTTTAAGCAAAGGGAAGAACATGTGCAAAGGCCCAGCAGCAGGAATCAATATAGTACAAGACAGCACAGGGTACACTGGGAGACAAAGGAAAAATTTGTTGGACCTTATATGAGAAGTTAGGTTTCACCCTTTGGACCATAGGAGGCTGGGGTGACAAGAGCTTGCTTTTCTGTTTTTCAAGTCAGTTTTCAGGTATCATTTATATAAAAATAAACTTTGCCCTTTTTGTGTGTACAGTAAACACTAAGACAATCAAGACTTAGAATATCTTCATTATCTTAAAAAGTTCTCTCTGTAGTCAACGCCTACTGTCCCACCCTCCCTCTGAGGCACGCAATTATTGATGATTTCTGTCTCCATAATTTTTTACTCTGAAATAATAATGCACTCACAGGAAGTTGCAGAGAGGGCCCATGTACACTCACCCAGCTCCCTCCGATGATAGTAGCATTTTACAAAACTATAGAAAACTATCAAAGCCAGGAAGCTGACATTAGCACAATGCAATTAACTAGGCTACAGACCTTATTCAGATTTCGCCAGTGTTTACACTCATTAGCTTGTTTTACAGAACATAGTTGGGCCACAATATGAAAGATGGGTTAGTGAGGTAAGGACAATGGAAGAACTCAGAGGTACAGGGAAAGGAAAGGACTGGAGGAACCATTTCTGAAGACCAGAAATCATCTGATGGACAATTTGGTACAAGCACTTAATCTTTCTGGAAATGACATCTCCCATACCACAGAACAGCAAGCAGAAGGTTGTTTTAAAGCGAAGGGCCTGACCTCTAACCGAATTGAGGAAATGTTTCCTTCAGCCATGAAAACACCAGATAACTATAATATTCCTTCTCACGCTTATACAAAGAAGAAAAATGTTTAGTCATTTTCATTTTCTTACTTTTGACTGATTGCAAACAGTGAAATAAGTGTCAAAGATCTGAGATTCTCTTGAGGTTTAGACACTTTTTCTGTTTGCTCTCCTTAACAGAATAAGCTAACAACTCCCCAAACTGAAACAAACTAAACCTCTATACTTACTCTTATTCCTTCCTGGAGTCCAGTTATTTTTGTTGCTTCTCTTACCTGCTCCAGCCGTGTATACTATTGACAATGCCTTAATGTCTGTACCTTAATATATTTACAGACATCAATTATTCATCACAAAACTGTAGGGTGTGGTTGTCCTCACTTTTATAGCCCAAGACCCAGAAGCTCCTTAGTGTTGGTACCCAAGATCACACACGCCAATACTGTAAAGTGCTTAGAAAGGCACATGTTCAATAAGTGTTAGCTAGACTTGTCAGAAGCCGGGTTCTCTCCACTTACCAAACCCCAATGATAGCCTGGATGGAACTCTTTCTTCAACAGCTGTGCTGGACTTAATTTAGGCAAAAGCTCCACGAGTGCAATGGAAATATTTCTGGTGACAAAGTCCAGTTTAAATCCCGTTTGTTTAAACCTTATTTGGCTGACAGCTAGTTTATCACTAGTTACTACCAAATAGAGTGCTTGGGTAGATCTGAGTGACTCAATACTTATTTCTTGACTTTAAAACAAGCTTTTTAATATGTTTGAAAGTTGATTTAATTAAATATGGTAACACTATCTATACTGTGTCCTGTGCTAGATATTTTATACACATTTTAGCACTAAATCCTCCAAATTCCAACTGTTATGATCATTATTAGCCATATTACCATCTGTAATCTGGCTGATTTTAAAGATGGGGAAATCAAGGCCTAGGAAAGCTGTCATGCGTTGCCCCAGGTCACAGAGCTAGTAACGGGGTGTACAGGATTAAGAACAGCTTTCGCCTAGGGACAGACTCCTATATGATACACACACAAACCAAAAAGCCCAGAACAATTTCAAATATAAAAGAGTAAATTAAAATAAGGAAAAGCAAACATAGGACAAAGAAACGGAGGCTCAGCAAGGTTAAATAACTGGTCCAAGGTTACAGAGAGACTATCAGAACCAGAATCCGATGGCAGATCTGTCTTGACTCCAAAGCATAGTTCATTTCCACCAAACCACGCTACCACGGACACCTGGTAAGGGGTAGTACAAATATTCATTGAATTAATAAGTCTGAAAACAAAGTTGACAAGGAAGAGGGTTAAAAAAAAATGTAAAAGAGAAATGAAAATGGAAAGGTAGTTCACGGGCAAGGGAAAAAAGGAAAATACAAACACACCCTCCAACAGTTTTCCAAGCAGCGCATTCAGGGTGAGGCAAGGTCCTGGAACAAACTTTGCTCGGGTCCCGCCGGACACCCAAGCTGGCGGGCGCGGAGTCTTCAAAGAGATGGTTCCGGAGGAGCCTGCCTTGGAGCACAGCAGCGAAGTCCGGCCGCCTACCGCGCCCACGCCCTCTCCCGACCGCGAGTCACCCGGCCTGGCAACACGCGACGACGACCGGAGGGCTGCCGCCTCTCCCTTCCGAGCTGCTGGTTTAAAAAGAAATACAAACACATGTCCCCAGGCAGCCCGCAGCCTCTCCTCGGGGTCTGGGCCCGAAGCCCGCTTCCCAGGTCGGCCGGACAGAAATGCGCCCGAGGGCCAGAGACCCTCGGGGCTGCAGCTCGTCGCCGGGCAGCGCCCGCCGCCCGCGGTCAGCCCAGCCCAGCCTAGCGGCGGAGGCGCACACAGCCCGGACCCGGGTAGGCCCCAGACGGAGCTGGGGCGGCCAGGCAGGCGGACGCCCTACAGGCCACGCGGGCCGGCAGTACCGGCGAGCAGCGGGCGCCGGCGGCTGGGCATTTCCTCTTCCTCCCTACGCGCTGCGCGGCGGCGCGGCGGCGGCGGCGGCCAGGCCAGGCCGAGGCCCGGCTCGGGCGCCCGACCGCGGCCTGCTGGCT